GGGGGGGAGCGGCGGGAGCCACGGGACAGCGGAGCACCACCGGCTGAGGTCACCGGTCTAATCCGAGGACTGTGAGCGGGTCTGGGGGGGTCGAGACTGCCCCGTCAATTCCGCTGGGGAGAGCTGGCCTCTGTTTTGCGGCGGGGGAGGGCCCGTTAACCGCCGTAACCAGATTCCTCCACCTCCGTCCCGGGAGGAGCCCAGGAGGAGAGCGCTTTGCACTGACCCCCGTGGCCCTTCTTGAGGAGGTAGAGTCACCCGGGATACCCAGAGACGAGTTTCCCGCCCTGGAGTCTGCACCCCCTCTCCCACCGTTGCTCACACCCACCGATACACACATACAACCACGTAGTCAAGGGAGCATGGACTTGCCCTTTGATTGGGGCCCAGACTATTTACTAACGAGGGCTCAGAGTTGGGAGGGGGGCGTGTCCAGCAGAATTTTTCTTGATGAGTTGGAGGGAGACCTGGGTTTGGTGACGGGTGCCGGGAATGGAGCAATAGTCTTGACCCTGTCACTAACCCACTGTGTGACCTTGAGTTACTCCTAATTTGGGCAGAAGTTTCTGTATGTGTAGAATAAAAGGGCTTGTCTCGATGATCTGTAAGTGTTTCCAATTCAAAAAAGTAGTGATTTGGTTAAGTAGATCTCTGTGATTTGGAAGGGCGTGCTGCTGGAAGTTGCTTCTGATGTGGAGGGAGTCGCATGTCTACTTCATGTAAGTTTGCCGGGACTTAGGGATGGGAAGCATGGCCCTTTGGCCTGACTTTTCCTTTGGAAACAGCCTAGCTAAGAGGTAGCCAGGCAGGGTCATCACCAACCTACTTACTGAGAGATTGTGACATTCCGATTCCAAGCCTTTGGAAATTGTTGACAGATACGCTTCATACTTGATGGGAGTGGTCGTAGTCCTAAACCAAACTGATCTTAGGTAAACATAAAGAGATGATGGGATAAAGCAGGCAGAAGTTGCCAAATGAAAAAAAAACATGGAGAATAAATTGATTGAAGAGTGAAGTGGAAGGGGGAAAAATCTTTAAAATAGAACCCCTGAAATGGTATGGTGTAGCTAGCATTTGTTCAGCAGTCAACAGTTACTGCTTTTGATACTTACAACAGCTCATTGAGGTAGATGGTATTGTACCTGCACTATAGCTTAAGAGACTGAGGCTTAGAGCCTGAAACATAGGAGGTGCTCAATCAGAAAGAACGTGACTTATGGAACCAGAACTTGAATTTACCATGTTACAGCTTTTTCAGAATTCACTGACTGGTTGAAAATTTAGCTTTCTGTTTTGTCACTAGAGTTTGAGCCTATAAAAAGAAGGGAGAAGGAGGGAAAATGAAGAGAAAGCTTTAAAAGAGAATAGTAGTTGAAAAACAGGGCATGAATATAATAAGGAAGATGAGATTTTTGTTGAAAAAAGATACGTAAAACTCAATCAAAATAATGAAGCATTTATTTTCATTCTCATTCTACTCCAACCAATGATGTCAAGGAGTTGCAGGCCTTATTTCTTGGTTTCATGAGGAAATGCTATTATTAAATGCTTGATAAATTAGAGAAATGAAACACTTGGGAAGCAAGATTAAATGAAGTAAGGAACAGGAAATAGCATCTGAAAAAAAGGAAGATACTGGAATCTTCCAAATCAGACAAACTGGGGAGTGGAGAAAATGCCATCTTTACAAAAAATCATAATAAAACTATTATGTTATGATCACTGAGAAGAGAAAATGAACATTTTCAAAATGAGGATGTGAACTTAATGAATAGCTAATTTCTTTTTTTTCAGTCGTTGGAGGATTGTCCTCTAGATGAAGATGAAGATGCATTTCAGGGCCTAGGAGAGGAAGATGAAGAGATTGATCAGTTCAATGATGATACATTTGGGTCAGGTGCAGTTGGTAAGTAGCATCTTTCTCCTCTAATATCATCTTGGTCTCTTACTCTTTTATTAGTGCGTTGTCTTTGTAGTAGAACCTCGTTCACTAATTTGGCAAGATATCCTTCTATTCTTATTCTTAGAATA